TTTTTTCTCACAGATGGTGCCCAACTGACCCTACTATACTGTGCAATCAACAAAATAAAAAACAAACAACGCGCATGTGCGAAATTAAAAATATAAAATGGTGACAATTAACCCATAGCACCCTATATATACGGTTATATCCGTATTACCAGCTACTGGAACTGACAATTTCACTAAGCATCGCTTTAATCCTCTAGGGTCTTCTTCCGTTTGATAATCCTGAAGTTAGAACTTAGAGCCTTAAACCTAATTTTCTTGCCACGTTTGCTACCTTGCTGTCAAGCTTTCCCTCTTCGCCGCCGCTTCTCGCTATTTTCTATTGCCTTCCTACAGTCATTTTTGGCCATGTCACAGTGTTATTAGTTACTGGTAGTTCAAACAGAAATATAATATTTATCTATTAAAAAATATTAAAAGATTCTATATAATGAAGTGAACCAAACTCATAAAATCGATAACTCAAATTCTAAGCATTGAGCTTTAAAAAACAAATAGGAACCAACGTAATTATCATTTCTTCTTAAAGTAAAAAAAAAAAATATTTATTTGTAGCTATTTTGTCAAATTTCCGTCTATACTCGTAGATAAGTCGAAGTCCGTTCTTTAACTCAAAGTACGTATGCAGTTGGCTCTAACATAATGCGTACGTGCATTGGCGAGTTTTTAAATATTTTCCTAGGGGTATAACATTTTATTATAGCTATTAAAACAGACATTTATAATACACATTAAAAGACATTTTATTATACCGATTTTTATTATACCGATTAAAACAAGTCTGTTTTTATGGCTATAGTGATAAATATGTTAAGAAATCGTTCATATTTACATGAACTTTTCGCCTATGTATATAGATTTGTTGATAGAAGAGTTAGTGGCATCATGAAACCATTGTGTGGATATTTTTGATAAGGTTCATGAAAATCATGGAAGCTGTGGATCGTTATTCACTCACATCATAACAGTAGAAATTATTCTTGTGTTCACGGAGATAAAAGCATATTTAACAGGAAATAAAACGTACACGAATAAACAAAGGTAAAGTCTATATTTCGTATATTTTATTTATATTTTTGTGTATATTGGTGTGTGCATTTTTTAAGTTACAATTGTTTTATGGTACATGTGAGCAAAAGGAGAATATATTCCATAGTATTACAAGCCATATCACAGAGGGAAGTTGAAAACGTGTTGCCCGTACCAAGGTTCGTGGTGAAGAGATTGAATTTTGGCGGGATGTTCGTATTTCCGTCAGGATCAGTTTTTGTTGCATGCTGGGAGTATTTTTATTATTTAATTTAATTTTTATTTAATTTATTTTATACAACGTTTTTTTATGTTATTGTTTTATTTTATTTTATTTTAATTTTCATTATTATTCTATATTTTATTTATTTATAATAATAATAATATCCCTACAAAGTTCTATCAAAATTTAAAAAGAAGGATTTTCTAAGCGAGGAAACCCGCCTAATGAAATGGTCAATTGAAATTTGAAGTCAAGCACCTATGTGCAGGTAAAAAGATGTGATTTGGATGTGACGGTGGATATATAAACAAGCAAGAATGGCTGGCCGTGCAGTAGAAAGTATCCAATGAAAAGAAGGAATTTCCTCCAAACAAGACAGAACGTTTGATCTACAGCAGCAGGTGAAGTTCAGCTTCACTTCCAGGTTCAATGCCAGTTTGGAAGGATTATTATTATTTTTATTTTTTTTTGTGATAATCAGCATGGTTTTTGTTCGAATACTTCCGACCGACTTGATCAACATTAAGAACTAAATGTAGAAAAAAATTGTTTTTATTAAACTGAAAACAGTAAATATGTTGTGTTAGGTTTGGGCTCGTCGTTCGAAGTTGAGAAGATGCTGTGTGTTGAACAAAAACTACAAGTGTTGAATTAGTTGAAAAAATAGATACACAAGAGAATGGAACGAAATGACATAGATGCTTTTATTGTATCGAGAACTTTTTATGTATAGGAAGTTCAAGGTTAATTCCAGAAAGTAAGTGCAAATTCAAGGAATGTTCTCAAGAGAGTCTCTGAAAAAAAATGAAGAAATAGTTGATCTTATTCTGTTGGTGAGTTAAAGAGCAAATGAGGTGTCTTGTCTATGCCATGTAAGTCGGTCTAGGAGCTCTAATGGTCGCGTCCTATCTTGACCTCGGCACGGTGTGAAAGAAAGCTAGCCTTCATTCAACTTTTCATCTAAGTTTTTTAAGTGTGTCCAAAAACTGATAATGGGGTTCATGCTGTTGAGAGGTTTTCAATGCGTGCGTGTCTTGCGAAAAAATGTCTAACGTCTGCTACAAAATATTTGATAATGACCGAAACGGCCGAAAGTACCCGAACAAAAAGTTAATTTTGGACAGTTTACCCACAACTTTGAGATGGATGTGCAAGAAATTACACAATAATTAGGAATTAGAATAAAAACAGATATACCTTGTTAGCCGAATTTAATAAAACGTGTTTGATTGATTTCTTGTTGCCTAAATATACATGAATGCGCATGCTAGCGCGAGTAAAGTTGGATGAAAATTCGAAAGAATGGTTAATATATAAGACAAACATCTGTTTTGACATGTTTCGCCAATGAACTTGCATCATCAGAAATTTTTTCTGATACCGTCAGTTTTACAAATTGTTACAAATATATATATATATATATATATATATATATATATATATATATATACTTTAAAAATCAGGAGGTTAATTAAAATAAGCGACCTTGGTTTCGACCTGGCGGTCTCTTCGGGCAATAAGGTGGTCATTTTTAAAAATATCACCCGAGGAGACCGTCAGGTCGAAACCAAGGTTGCGTATTTTAATTGACCTCCTGATTTTTAAAGTTAAAACGTCTACATGTTATTTTTACTTTTATTTATATTTTTTCACGCGTGTATTGAGCATTTTTTAATACTACTGTTTCCTGGTCTCATTCAACTCTGACCATTAACTATATATATATATATATATATATATATATATGTATATATATATATATATATATATATATATATAATGAAAATTTAAGCCAACACCCAGCAGCAGCAGTCTGATTCATGGTTATACGCAAATGTCGGACCATACTGTTGGCTGGTGATTGTATATAAGCATGAAACAAACTGTCGACGCTGAGTGCTGACTTCAAAGTCAACTTTTATTTTTACATCCGCTCTATCCCTGATCTTCAGAGCTTTAAATTATAAATATAGCATGCCTTAAAAATATATTTTATCATATCTATCTATCTATCTATCTATCTATCTATATATATATATATATATATATATATATATATATATATATATATATATATAAAAGAAATATAATGTAGTGGTTCCAACGAGAGAAAAGTATGTATATTAAAAAGAAGAAAAGAGAGGTGCCGCAAACGTTTTTGGTTGTAATGTGGATTTATTTAGAAAAAATATTATGCTTTGTTTTACATAATTTTACGACACGTGTTTCTGGTCTCGCGACCGTCTTCAGGTAAAAGTGGAGATTTCCACATATTATTAAAAATGATTAATTTTTCCTCGTGTTCGATGTTAAATATTCTCGATATGAGACATTTTCTGTTTGTGTGTTGGTAATCTGAATTTCTTTCTTGAAATTGATACAATTGTTTATCCATGTGTATATATATATTATTTAGTTTATTAAACATATATATATATATATATATATATATATATATATATATATATATATATGTTTCTTATTACTACAAACCTTATATTTAATGAGTACGTATGTTTGAGTATGCACTATTTTTTAACAGTGAAATTAACCTATACCGTTTTAGAGAACGAAAGTATTATTGAATGCCAGTCTATAAGCCGGTAGATATTAATGTCACTGTTAAAAAAGAATGTCTACACTAATACGTACATCCACTGAATGTAACGGTTATTGGAATAAGAAATAATATCGGATTAACAAAAAATCCATTAATAACTTATATATATATATATATATATATATATAGCATCCCGAATTCAGTAACTTTCCCATCACCCTAATGTACCTACTCTGTGTCTATTCTATAAATACTTTCATGGCAATTGTTTTGATGAGCATTCTTATGTGATTCCTATACTATGAAATTAAGCGCTGTACTAGATATACTAGTCGGCAAGGTCTCCTCATTTCTGAGTTAAAATGGTGGGAAGTAACCGTAAGTTCTATGCTAACATTTTCTTCTTTCGCACTTCTTCCTTGTGGATGTCCCTTCCGGCTTGTTGGTTTCCAGTCAAGTTTGATCTTCAAAAATGTAAACGCAATGTCAATTGTTATCTTCTGTTTTCTTAATTCCTGTTCTTTTATTGTTCTCACTCCATAATAATGATTTTTTTCTTTTTCGTATATCCTTTCACACTCAGTAACCCTTTGTGTTTTATATTGCCTTCCTTGAGTGAAAGGATTAAAAAATATACCGTATTGATAGATAAATAAATAAAGAATGACTGTTATTTTATTTTCAAGAAGTTATTTACGAAATATCTTCCTGAAAATAACACGCAAACACGGATAACCAGGATAAGTTTCTCGGCGTGGCTTTTCTTTCATATTGTTACCCTGTGAGCATGCATTGCACTCTTTCCCAACTTTCTGCGAACACCGACGAGATCGAAGAATGAACTGCAACGTGGGGTTATGATTGGTCGGTCAGTGGAAATCTTTGGCGAGGGCTGCGTTATATGTTTACAACATATTTGGCAGTTGTTCATTTTTCAAACGATGTTTTGACTGGTTATACTTAGGCGTCTTCTTTATAGATTTGCTGCTGAGCTAAACTAGGTCACCAACGTACATTTCTAAACTTGACGAGAATCAAGACAATGGCTTGCGAGATCAGTGAATGCTTCCTTATCGTTGATATTGACCTTTTACTCACAAAATATTGCCTCACCCATATGTTGAACTTCGAACTTCTCTACTATTCTGCACGTATATACACATACACACACAGAGGCTTACAGCGACATCTTGTTGAAACACCGGTTCCCGTACAATCCATGAAGTTAAGCAACGTTGAGTCTGGTCAGTAACTAGATGGGTGACCACTAGTGAATACAAACTGCTGTAATCTTGAATGAACAGGTGATGCAAAAGATAACGACCAAGAATTGTTAATCGGAGAGCCGCGTCCCAATTCCAGTTGGGTTCGTTATTTTCACTAGCGCGCAAATACCCTTGGTAAAGGTATGAATCGACCTCTTCTAGCCCCAGCTATGGGTTAATTAGTAAGATTTGTATCACTAAATTATTATTATAAAAAATATAAAATTGCGTTCAAAATATTTAAATTTTGTCATTAAATAACCGATAGAGGTTGATATGCCACTAAATAAAATCAACCAACCAACATTTATAGTAAAATTACCAACAATCCATATTTATAATAAAATGATTAGCAATACTTATTGATAGTAAAATGACCAGCAATATATTTTTAAATCAAAATAAGCAGCAATACATTTTATAGTAGAATTACCAACAATACACTTTAAATAACCGATAAAGGTTGATATATCGCTAAACAAAAACAACCAACCAATTAACTAACATATACACACATGCACGCACAAACACGCATAAATATACACACACACACACACACACACACACACACACACACACACACACACACACACACACACACACACACACACACACACACACACTTGTTCAATCTCCCCCACCAGTTAACCCAATTAGTAGTCATTGAGGTCGAGTGATCATTATCCAAGTTTAGGCCATCGGCGATTTAAATCAAAGTGTCAGATCAACTGATATTTTTTGAGGGATAATTTTGCCACAACGAAATCACATCAAAACGCAGAGATACAGAAAATTTCTCGGTGCGACCCACATCTATCTGATCCAAACATCTTCTTCTTCTTTATGTACCGTACCCTCTCAGAACGTAGACTATCATGGCTCTCCACAACATCCTAACCCTTGTAGCTCTTAATAAATTCAATCTTTCTGTTCTTTCTTCTAAACACTGTTCCGTCATCCATTTACTTAAGCTCACTGAGTTGTTGCTTTCCTCTGTCCATCTTGCCTTCAATCTGTTCTGTGAGTATCAAATTTTCCAAGCCCTATTTCCTCATTATGTGCCCTCGAAATCTCAACTGTCTCTTCCTGGTGTTCCTTATTTCCTGTTTTGTATTGAGTTTCCTGTTCCTTCTAAAGTTTGTTTCAACTCTGTACTCCTAACGCCTGTCCCTGCACTCTGTAAATGTATTCAATATTTATTTGATTTTATTTTTCTCTCCACCAATAGGAATAGGTTCGCCTATCGTCCGGTTCACACACTTCTCCAGTCTTTTAAAGAGGAGTAGAGGTCTATCCCTTGCTCCCTACATGGGATTGAGTTTCCGGTTCCTTCTAATTCGTCTGATTCAGCGCTATACTCATAACGCTTGTCCTTTCCTACGCTAATATACTCATGACGCTTGTCCTTTCCTACGCTAATATACTCATGACGCTTGTCCTTTCCTACGCTAATATACTCATGACGCTTGTCCTTTCCTACGCTAATATACTCATAACGCTTGTCCTTTCCTACGCTAATATACTCATAACGCTTGTCCTTTCCTACGCTAATATACTCTACACAGTAATTCTCTATTTTGAGTGGTTCTTGGACATTGATATTGGTTGAACATTGTTTAAAAAAAGTGTAAGTTATTTATTTTATTCTCTAAAGTTTCGTCGTTGTTCAAATGTGCGGTCAATGATATACTCAGCGTCCTTCTGTAGAACCACATTTCTGATGCTTCAAGTCTATTTTTTTAATCTTTGGGGAGATTGTATAGCACTCGCTGCCATACAGGAGACCAACAGATTTTTTTAATGTCATCTTGGTCAGGCTCAGAACTTATCGGCATTATCTCGAAAATGACGGATTTTTTTTTGTGCAAAACAAACAATTTTTAGTGAAAAATCAATAACCAAGGACAAAATCGAATTCATTACAGTTGGGTCATTGACTAAACCACAAGAAAAAAAAATCGATTTCAGAAAGCAGACAGGTGTTGGTGGACGCTCAATATAAGACGATTGGCTTGACTACCGTTTACCGGGCACACGGTCCTGGAGGAAGGCAATAACTTGTCTAAACAGTTGTCTAAATGGAATTGAGAAAACACATGTACAGTAGGGCAGGTTGAATTTGGAACCGTGGTATTCCACTCCATTTGAAAGTTGGGATTTGACAAAATATTGCCACAATTTTTTTTTCCAAGGCGTTACCGTTTTTTGAGGAAACGAGTTTGAAGATTAAGTTTAGATTCAAAATCGTAGCGTTGGAATTTTATTCTGATGATCAGTGAAATCTTTATAGCACAGCTTTATAAAATTTATAATTTACTGAAGCTTTATAAATTACATATAGAGAAGATGCATGACACAAGCACATTATTACTAAATAGTTGTGCCATCAAATATGACCTTCATTTCCTTCAAAGGGAAATTATACTGAATAAGTTAGCTATATTATGATGTAATATATTATAGTAAAGTAGTTTTAGTGTGATTTTCAATAAACAACGCAAATGTGATATTTTTGTCTTATAATTTGGGCGTAGCAGTATTATGGTATCATATACACGTTTATCCATTTTTTGTTTTATTAACAAGTGATCTAACAAATCACTGAGTAGCCTTTTTTGTAATCTTTTACAATATTTTTAATGTTTAGGCAACTGTTTTTTCAAGTAGTTGTCTTCTTCCCGGATCATGTGCCCGATAAACAGTAGTCAGGTCAGATTATTATTATTATTATTATTATTATTATTTCTGTTGTATACTCATTTACTTCCGTGTCCCATTCAGAAAGCTAAGGTCATAAATGGCATCATGACATTTTTAATTAACATTTTTGTAAAAAATAAATAAAATAAAAATAAGAGCACGCACATTTTACAACGACAAATCCCTTCGTAAAATGTGAACTGTATTTTTTTGTATTTCTTTAAGGCATGGGCTACCAGGAATCCCTTCAATGAGTCTATCGGAACCTTTTCCAATCAATCCGAGGACTCCAACAAGAATTATTGATGTTTTCATGTGACACATTTTTTAGATTTCCACTTCAAGATTCTTATATTTTGATAGTTATTTTAAGATCTTCGACGATACATTACAGTCTGCGGGAACTGCCTTGTCAAAAAGAAAGCGCGTTCTGTTTTTGTGGTATTTGATCACGATGTCTGGGTGATTCATTTTGATTGTTCTGTCTGTGTGTATTATTATTATTATACAAGTTCACATATGACGGCAATATTTACGTAATTTTGAAATTGTATTGGTTGTATTTCATGAATAAGTAATCAACGTTTTTTGTTTACACAGTTAACTTTATTTTAATATAGAATTTTGATTTTTATATCATTAAGATGAAAATTAACCCGAGAAAGCTAATACTAAAATAAATAAATAAATAAATAAAAATCAACGTATTAGTAGCCTAATCTTCTCTTCTCGTCCGTTAACCTACTTAGGGAGACCTTCTCCTCCTCCTTCACTCTCCCCCCTCTCTCTCTCTCTCTTTCTCTCTTTCTCTTTCTCTCTCTCTCTTTCTCTCTCTCCAGATGCTCTCCTCAAAACTCCCCCTACTTATTTAATGGCGTAGAGTAATGATTCCTGCTACTGCAACATTAGAGTATTTAAAACAGAAAGATTATTATTTACATTATTTGCAGTTCGACTAATATCCTCATCTTTGTTGTTATTATCAAAAAATTACAACCGTCATGCTTTCTGGCCATATTCATATGTCTGGAATTTCGAACTGAACTTAATCTACGGGGGTAGATTGTACTCGTTTCAATGTCCACGTCTAGTGATATTTTGTCTCATTCTTATTCATTGTTCGCCCCATTTCCACGAAGTCTAAGTCTGTTCTACCCGCTCCAGGGATTAAACTCGAAATTATTATATAATCCAAATTCATAAACACTTTAATCCACTATTGTCCCATTGGACAATCCTGATTCTAGAACTTGGAGCCTTAAACCTAATGTTCTTAATGTTCTTATTGCCTAACTGCCTGCTACTGCCGTTGATGCTGCTGTTTCGTTAGGCCTCCTCCCTTGAAGCACCTATTTTCTTACTTCTACAGCTGCTGAGCATTACTGCCGTATCTCTTTCTTTCTTAATGGCTCCCATATGATATTCATTTCTTTGCTAGGTCTATCGAGAAGGCCATCCTAATTAAAACCCTTTTACTGCCGCCTACACCCAGTGATGTAACCACATTTAGTGGTCCGGTCCATAGGGTCTTAGGACAACGTTTTAACTACAGAACTAACTCTGCGCTGGTCAATACTGACGCTGGTCCAAGCTGATTGTTGATCGCTGGCCGCTTCGATCCACATCAACTCTGTCCACGTTGTGTTCTTGATCTCATAGCAGTGGAAGATCGAATATTTTAGTAAGCGTTGGTTCTAGCTGTGGTGGGCACTATAATAAGAGAAATATCTTCGCAACGAAAAATAAAAACGAAAGATACATTGGATTAATCTTCAATTGGTTTATATAGTTCTTGGTGCAACAAAAATTACTCTTCCCGCATAAGTCTATATAGCGACACTGGGCCTTGCCTAAAGTTTTGGGTTCAAAGTTCTTCTTTAACGAGGAGAGAGACAGACGGAGATTATATTTTCGTCGACGGAAGCGAATTGATAACTTTTAGAAATGTAAACAAGGAATGAACCCTTTTTGAGGGTAGAAGTTATGAAGACAGAACCTGTCGTTGACGAGCAGGTGATCTGGTTTATAGTTTTGCTAAACGGAAATCGGTTCAGGAATGGAGAAATCATTTTATCTCTTCCTTGAGAATTTAAGTAAATATCGTTGGTCAGAGAGAGAGAGAGAGAGAGAGAGAGAGAGGTCTGGATTATATGTTTGCCGACGAAAACGAATTGTTTCTCGCAGAATGAATTGCGTCATAGTGCTCTTTTTCTTACATACGATACCCAACTGACCCTACTACACTGTGCGGTTGACAAAATCAAAAACAAACAACTTATATATAAGCAAAAAGTTTGTCACTTAGCTGATTGATGTTACCTCCAGC